AAAAAAAAAAAGTCTTAAGTCCAGGAAGAGATAGAGCTGATGTGTTAGATATCAATTGCTGTATAAATTATCCCAAATCTTAGCATCATTAAACAACAAACATTTATCATCTTATATAGTTTCCAAGAGTTGGGAACTGGGGAGTGACTTAGCTGGGGGATTCTGACTCAGGGTCTCTCATAAAGCTGTGTGCAAAGGTCAGGGCTACAGTGGTCTGAAGGCTTGGCTAGGTTGGAGAGTCTGCTTTGATTCCGTTCTTCCCCTGTGGCCAGATACAATCACTTTCATCATATTCTGTTGGTCACAGAGAGCAGCCCTGGTACAGTGTAGGAGGGGACTGCACAAAGAGGGAGAATACTAGGAGGCAGGGGTCCCTGGGGGCTGTCTTGTTGGCTGGAGACCACTATTGGGTCTTGAACCAGATCTTCTGACTGCTTTTGTTCTTTTCGTGTTAATCCCAATAGTCCCCATTTGTCCTAAGAAGACAGGAGAAGGAGAATAGGAGAGAAGGCGTCTAAGGGCAGTCCAGAGGCTTCCCTCCCTGGTGAGGTGCCTGGTCCTGGCACCCAATCTCCCTCCTCTACCCTCTGGTCCTGATAGCTGTGATTCACTAGAAGGGACCTTCTGTCCAGGACAGATGGGCTACTTGCCCTTACCCCAGCCTGCTGACCTCTCCCCTGGGCTGGCCTCAGAGCTCTTGATTACGCCAGAGCTTACTGAGCAGCCAGGGGCTAAGCTGCTGTTCTCAGAGTGGCATGTGTTTTCATCAGGCTAGTGGGCAAAGACACCTTCCTGGGGGCTTCTTTTTTTTTCTTTTTGTGGCAGAGTCTCACATTGTTGCCCTCAATAGAGTGCCTGGCATCACAGCTCACAGCAACCTCAAACTCTTGGGCTCAAGCAACTCTCTAGCTGGGACTACAAGCACTGGCCACAACACCCCTCTATTTTTAGAGGTGGGGTTTCACTCTGGCTCAGGCTGGTCTTGAACTTGTGAGCTCAGGCAGTCCACCCGCCTCGGCCTCCCAGAGTGCTAGGATACAGGCGTGAGCCACCGTGCCCAGCCCTTCCTGGGGGCTTCTGATGAGAGATGATGTGAGAATTCTCCATTCTCTACCTTCCTTTCTTGTCCTTGAGTCTCAAATTTCAGTGTGCATGAGAAACAGGGAATGGTGGAGATAATTTTCAAAATCCAGAGATTCTGGGGCCTAGAGCTCAGCCTGTGAGTCTACATGTTAAGAAAAGCCCCTAATCAGTAGGGTGCTGGCCCCATATACCGGAGGTGGTGGGTTCAAACCCTGCCCCAGTCAAAAACTGCAAAAAAAAGAAAGCCCCTGAACCTTTAATACAGTCCAAAGGGGTCGTGACCCACAGGTTGAGAACCGCTGCACCTAGCTGATGCTTGTATAGTTGGGTGGATGAGCCGCACTTGGAGAAACACAGAGCTGGAGAAACGGTGAAGGCATCAGAATGGGGCCTGGCCAAGAACCAGGCAGCTTCTGGTGAGGCAGAGGCCAGTGAGTCCTTTTCTCCTTAGGGATGGGACTGCCACCAAGTCCCCCAGACCACGCTACCGTAAGATCCAGAAGCTCACCAATGCCATCAATGCTTTCACGCTGACCAACTTCCTGCTTGTGGGTTTCGGCATCACCTGCCTCATCAACAACTTACACCTCCAGGTGCCCACTTCCGTCCTTCTCTCCCTGTCCCCTCGGACTATGCTGAGGGACGTTTCACGGTACGCCTGCCTTCCAGGAAGCATGGCACTCGTCTGCTGGTCTGGGTCTGACTATTTTTTGGGCTCTCCAGAAAGCGTTTCCAGTAGATTGGGTTGGTGAGGGGTAAGCACATAAACATGGGCTCAGGAAGGTCCCGATTCCCTCCTCACCCCACCTTCTCCCTGCCTCTATACTTCTTAACCTCTTCACTCTCTTTTTGGTTTCAGTTTGTGACCTTTGTCCTGCACACCATAGTTCGAGGTTTCTTCCACTCTGCCTGTGGAAGTCTCTATGCTGCAGTGTGAGTCCCCTGGGCTGATTCCCTTCCTGACCTTTGCTTCCATAACCAGGGAATTCCACAGCAGAGTTGGGAGGGCCCCAGGACCCCCTCAATGCACCCCGCGCTTGAATGCTGACATCTCAGAGTTGTCGGGGACCTTGGAAGCTGTCTGGCACACTCTGTCTGCCCTCTCTGAGCCCCTCACTTCCTCAAAGGCAGCCCACCCCCTGACTTCTACCTTGGGAAAATCTCCCCTTAGAGGAAACTAAAATACTTGATTTGAAGACATTTTGTTCCTAGAACGGCCTTCAAAGTGGCCTTCTCTCCCCGTGTCTGCTCTGAAGAAATTTCCCAGTGATGGTCTCGTTTGCCTTATAAAGTTCCTTCTTTGGGTTGAGCACCACCAGTTCCTGTTCTCCCCTGGGCTGGCCTCAGAGCCATTGGCTTGATTTCATTGCTCTATCTCAGCACCCAGAACAGTGCCTGGCATGTGGTAGGAACTTGATTTTTTTTTTTTAGACAGAGCCTCAAGCTGTCACCCTGGATAAAGTGCCATGGTGTCACAGCTCATGGCAACCTCAAACTCTTGGGCTTAAGCCAGTGGTTCTCAACCTGTGGGTTGCGACCCACAGGAATTGTATTAAAGGGTCGTGGCATTAGGAAGGTTGAGAACCACTGGCTTAAGCAATTCTCTTGCCTCAGGCTCCCAAGTATCTGGGACCTCAGGCACCCACCACAATGCCTGGCTTTTTTTTTTTTTTTCAATGTTGCGGTTGTCATTGTTTTTAGTTGGCCTGTGCTGGGTTTGAATCTGACAGCCTGGGTGCATGTAGCCAGCACCCTGCCCACTGAACTACAGGCCCCTGCCCAGGAGCTTGATAAATATTGAATAAAAGAATAAAATGTACTTTCATTCACACACGGGATTGCATGCCTATAATCCCAGCACTCTGGGAGGCTGAAGAGGTTGGATTGCTTGAGCTCAGGAGTTCGAGACCAGCCTGAGCCAGGGCATCTATAAAAATTCTTTTTACCTCATCTGTTAAAACAGTCAGGTGTTGTGGTGGGTGCCTGTAGTCCCAGATACTCGGGAGGCTGAGGTAAAAAAATCACTTGAGCCCAAGAGTTTGAGGTTGCTGTGAGGTGTGATGCCACGGTACTCTGAGGGTGACAAAGTAGAACTCTGTCTCAAAAAAAGAAGAAGAAGATAATGAAGAACAAGCATGTCTGGCTTCCACGGCCAGGTGCTGTAAGTGACCCTCCCTGTGGGGGTGATGGAGTAACATGGGACATTACAATAGTGATGACAAAATCATGACCATTATTGAGGGCATCCTCCTTCTGTGGCAGGCAGAGGACGGCCCCTTTTCCTTGGCTCACTGCAGACCTCTTGGTAGGAGGTGGCTTCATTTCCTTCATCTGCTCAAGCTGAAGCCTTGGAATCCTCCTTGACTCTTCACTTCCTCACATTCCACATTCAGCCCATCCTCCTTCCACATACTCCAAATCTGACCCCTTCTTTTCCCCTCCACTGCTACCACCTTGGTCCTAGCTGTCATCATCTCCAGTGGGACTGTGGTGGCCGCCTCCATACCCCAGTCTCTTCACATCTGCCCTGATCTTCCCTCAGTCTATTTTAACACAAGGGCTGGAGTCCCCTATTAGGACATAAGTCTCTTCATGTCATTCTGGGGCTTTCCATCTTTTGCCACTTGGGGTAAAAGCCAAAGACTTTATCGTGTGGCCTTAAATGCTCCATAAGTCCCGGCTCCAGGACCTCCCCTCCCGTGCTTACTCTGCCACAAGCGGCCTCCTTGTGCCTCAGCAACCCCGAGCACATTCCCTGTTCAGCACATTTGCACTTAGTAGGTCTCTGTTGATAAAACATTCTCCAGAAATCTGCAAGGCTCCCAGTCCTGCCTTCTCCACTTTGTCAGGCCCCTTCTCAGTGAAGCCTTCCCTGGCCATTCTATCTACACTGTGGCCCCCTTGCCACCTTCACCCCCTTCTCTGCTTACTTTCCTCCTGCACACTTAATCCTGTAATGCACCCCCACATTTCCTGGCTTATTGTCACAACCCCACCTACACCATAAGCATGTCACCTCCACAAAGGCAGGAATTTTTTATTTTATTTTTTATTATTTTTTTTGAGACAGTCTCACTATGTCACCCTCAGTACAATTCACAGGAACCTCAAACTCTTGGGCTTAAGTGATTCTCTTGCCTTGGCCTCCCATGTAGCTGGGACTACAGGCATCCACCACAACGCGTGGCTATTTTTTTGTTGAAGTTGTTATTGCTGTTTGTCAGGCCCAGGCTGGGTTTGAACCCACCAGCCCCGGTGTATGTGGCCAGCGCCCTAGCTGCTGAGCTACGGGCACCGAGCTGAAGGCAGGAATTTTTGTTAGTTTTATTCTATCTCACCACATAGAACAGTGCCTGGCACATAGTAGGAACTCTATAAATATTTGTTGAAAGAATAAAGTGGACAGCCTGCAAGGTTGCTGCTGTCCTAGTTATTAGTAGAGGAGGTGGGGGCCCAGAGGGGTTGGACTGCTAGCTGTCACACAGACCAGAGACATCAGAACCCAGCTCTGTGCCCCTAAAGTCATGGCATATGCCCTCCATTGAGGGCAGGGACCAAAAAGCTCATGCACAGAGCCTTGAATGCTCAAGCACCACCCCATGACATCTAGAGGAAGGGATCTGAGGGAGGCTGGGCTGGGCTGGAGAGGGCCACCACATACACTGCTCTCTCCTGGACAGATTCCCATCCAACCACTTCGGGACGCTGACGGGCCTGCAGTCTCTCATCAGTGCCGTGTTTGCCCTGTTACAGCAGCCACTATTCATGGCCATGGTGGGCCCCCTGCAAGGAGACCCTTTCTGGGTGAGAGCAGGGGTTGGCATGGGATCCAGGGCAGGGGCTTGTGTGTGAAGGAATCCTTCACTTCTCTCATGTCAGCCAGAGGTGCCTTGGAGGGCTCTAATCTGGGGGTTCCCAAACTGGCTGCCCCTTAGAACCCCTTCACAGAATGTTAAAAATACAGATTTCCCCATCCTATTGAATCAGCATCTCTCAGCCTGACCCCAGGAGTCTGTTTTTAATAAGCTCCCAGGTGATTTGTGAAGTGGCCCAATTCTGATCTTTGGCTGGTGTTCAGGAGCCACTGTTCTGATCCAGTTCCACCCAGAGCAGGGATCTCCTCTCTAGCACCCCTGAAAGGGTGTTCCTCCCTGCAGTGCTCATGGTGGAGCAGCCACCCCTGCATGAGGCATCACTGTTGTTGTCAGAAAGGCTTTTGCTGACATTGAGCTGGCAGCTGCCTCCCTGAAGCTGATCTTCCATCTGTCCTGTGGGGCCACCCACACATGAGCCCTTCTTCCACGAGAACTGTGATGAGAAACCACTGCCATTTACTGAGCGTGCACCCTGTGCCACGCGTGCTATATACTTTTTTTTCACTTAATCTTTGTCACAGCAGCCCTGAGAAGGACACACTTAGAGCTGTGATTACTCCCAAAGTCACACAGTGAGTTACATACACAGGGTGGTGTGAACTGAGTCAGACCCCATGTGAGGCTGCTGTCCTGGGCCTTCCAAGCTGCCTGTCCTCCAGGCTGTGCATCCCAGCCAGCTCCTTGAACTGGGCCTGAGTACCTCTTGCCACCCTGAACAGAGCCCCATGGGTCAACCTCCAGTGGTCAGAGCTGCCAGCCCAGAAGGTCTCATTTCTGGAACAGCCCAGCCAGCCCAGTCTGCTACGGCGCTGTGGCCTTCTTCATATCTACCTAGAGAGTGCTGTACAGGCTGGCCACTGACCAGGCTCTGTCCCTTATTAGATCCAAGCAGTCTCAGCCACTTTGCAAGGTTGCTGAACATTAAATGAGATAACGGTGGAACAGTGATTGCACACAATAAGTACTAGCTGGAGTTTTCTTTCTAGCCCGGGACCTGCAGCAAAAATGCCTGGGTATTTCCTGCTGGTGGGATATTCCTTCTGCAGCATGGGATGTCCAGGAATGTCCCTGTCTCTTCCCCTGCCCACCCCCTGTGTCAACCCTTGTGGAGACTAAGGAGGATCTCTGAGGATGATGAAGGGTAAATAGGTACCTACATGACTCTGTTTCTCTCTCTTTGCCCTAAAGGTGAATTTTGGCCTCCTGCTATTCTCACTCCTTGGATTCCTGCTACCTTCCTACCTCTTCTACTACCGCGCCCGGCTCCAGAAGGAGTACACTGCCAACGGGGCGGGCCCACTGAAGGTGCTCAACAGTCCCGAGGTGACTGCATAGACTCCTGAGGCCAAGACCTGGACAACAGGCAGTCACGGCCTGAGCAACCAAAGGGAATGCCCTATGTGGCTTTTCTACCTGTAACATTCACATAGAGCCAGGGGCTATGGATTTATAAATATCAAGAGTTCTATTTTTGTAAGGACTTGACAAAAGGAAAAAAAAATCCCTTAAAAAAAAAAGTCCCCCAAAGCAATGCTCCATTGACTGAAGACAGTCTCTGCTAGAGGGATTATGCCTTCTTCCTCCATGGACTGGAGGACACCAGGGTAGGGGGTACCCTTTCTGCCGCCTTTGTCCTAGGGGTTTTGCCTTCTGGCCCCTCATGGCACTTGTCAGATCAGTGAATGGGCTACCCCCTCAGGTCCCAGCTGCCAAGAGTGTGCATGCATGCATGTGTACGTATGTGTGTATGTGTGTGTTTGTGCAATGCAACCTTCCCTCAGAAAGAAAGGGGTCTGAGGTGCTGGCTGTGTCCCCGGTGGGGTGTAGGGGGTAGTCCCCTTCCAGAGGCTGGAGGGCAGGTTCCCTCCCTGGTGCTGCTTCTTGCAAGTTTTAGAGGAAATAAAAAGGGAAGTGAGAGACTGGCTGGTGTGCGCCTGTCTTTGGTGGTGGAGGTGGGGCTGCATCCCCATCCCTCTTCCTCACCCCAGCTCAGCTGGGCATTAAGTAGGATGGTTGGCCTGTGAGCCTGTCTCTGGCTGTCTGGCGCACTTCCCTGATCCCAATCCTTGCCTGCCTTTAATGCCTGGAGAGAGTCCAGAACCTGCCCCCTACTTCCCAGGGTTTAGGGCACATCTGGGAAGCTGGCCTTTATCCATACAGGGGATCAGGGAAGAATGCTTTAGAAAGAATGCTAAGAGATGACTCAAACTTTCCCACCAGAGCATCTCCGGTGCCTGCGGAAAGTAACACTTTTTTTTGTAGTCTCCTATTATATCTTAAAACTTCATGTACATTTCAAGCTTTATTCTATACTATATTTACATTTATTTTTAACATCAAAAAGAGGTTTAAGTAAATAAATAATTAGAGGCTTTAAAATGATCTGCTTCAAAGGAAGATATCATCTTTAAGGAGAAAAGTCCTTCCAGAAAGACACACCTTATTTATCCCAGCCCTACACCTGCTTGTGTCCCAGGGACATAAGCCTTAGAGGTTAGAGTGAGTCCTAGAAGGGAGGAACAACCAAGATTAGGCTGAGTGAGGATCTGTCTGTTCTACACCATATCTCATTTCACCCACACTATAGCCCAAGAAGTCAGTATCATCATCCTGTTTCACAGATTGAGGAAACAAGCCCAGAAAGGTTAAGGTACAAGCCCAAGGGCACACAAGCCAAAGTGGTAGGTAGCTGGTGGAGCTGAGCTTGGTACCCCCCCTCCCCAAGTCTGACTGCAGAGTCCAAGCCACAGGTCTTTCCTGGGCAGTTGGGCAGAAATGAGGTCGCAAGCTTCTTCTCAGTTCTTAGATGCCCTCTCAGGACTGAGAGTGACCTCAGAGGCCTCATTCAGCCTCCCCAGAAAATCCCGTACAGGATCCCCAAAGGTTAGCACTGGAAGACAGCATTACAGATAAGCCCTTTTCACTCTCTTTGTCTTAAGTTCTCTTGAGAAGTCAGTAAAAGACCGACCTATCCATTTTCAGATAAAAAACCAAGTTCAGAGGGGACTGCAGACCTGGCTTCTCCAAGCCCAGGTTCCTGACTTAAGAGTATTGCCTTTTTCGCAAACATGAAACCAGAGTAGGACAACACCCATCCACGGGTTCGGCGGCTCCCGGGAGACCTGCCTGGGTCTCACTGCGCTCTCTGTCGTGTAGTCTTCCTTACTTTCCCAATAGTCTTCGTAGAGGCTGACCCAGAGCGTGGATGGGGGGCGAGGGCTTCGGGGTGAGGACTGGTGGAAGCGTAGGGTGTGCGCGCCAGGCACGCGGTGTGCCCGCCAGGGGGCGCTGCGTGGCTGCGGTTGGCACAGCCTGGGACAGGGAGGGAGGGAGGGGGCGGCGAGGCTGGAAGGTAACCCCAACCTCTAGCCACACAGGTCCACCCTTCCTGTGTCTCAGTCTCCAGAACCCTGACTCCCGATTTGCTTTGCTCCTCCTTTGAACTCGCTCTACGCCTTTCCGGACCCCCGCCCTTTCTAGTTTCACCTCCAGCCTCGCCGACCCTCTCAAAGGGACGCGCGGGGAGTGGGTATTGGTGGAGGTGGATGCTGGACGCTCGCCCCTCCCCAGCTGAGCCTGGGACCCAGTGGGAGATGGAGGCAGAAATTTTGGCCTCCTAGGAGAAGGGCGTCTCCTTATTCCCCCACTCCCGTGGGAAGTTTGGGGAGGGGGCTGGGCAGGGGCGGAAGCGAGCTAGAGCCGTGTTTGTCGCGGCGCTGCCGAGTGGAACAGATGGCTGGGGAGGGGAGAGGGTGCGTAGCGGGGAGGAGGAGGGGTGCGGGGGCTGGAGGATGAGAAACGAGGAATTTCGACGCCCCAAGTCTCCCAGGAGAAGCCCCCCTCCCCATCTCTTCCCAGAAAGAAGGGCGGGCAAGCTCCTGCCTTTTCCCGGAGAGCCCTGGCCTCTGGCCCACGGCAGACCTGGCCACGCAGTCCGCCCCCAGGGTGAGCTCCTCACCTCCCCCACTAGACTCCCCACCTTGGCGGGGTCCAGGCCGCAGGGAGTGGCCGGGGTGGCTGGGGTTAATGGGGCCGCGATCTCCAGGGCGAAGAGGAGGCGGCCGGAAGCGGGCTCCCTGGCTGGGAGTGAGTTCTGGGATTGCAAATAGCTAAGGAAAAACGTGTTAATTGGAACTTTATGCAGATGAGCTGGGGTTGGGGGCTGGGGGAAACAGGGAGAGAAAAGGTCAGCGGGTGCTGGCCCAGAGCTGAGTTCTGAGGGGTGGGGTGAAGGGCTCTGGCCAGGGCAGTGATGGACTGGTATCAATATACATCTCCGCCTTCAACCTCAGGGGAGGGACGCCGGCCCCCCGGGATGACAAGCTTCCTCTCTGACCCTGCGACACAGAAACAGGGGTCTCTTCCAGGGTCTTCTCATTCTGGGTCCAGAAGTTAAGAGTCTCAGATCGCCACGAAAAGGAGTACCCTATGCGCGGCTGCTTCTGCTTCTGAGGGCTTCCAGTTTCCCCTTGGCCGTGGGTCTCACCTCCCCCGTCTGGGTTGGTCTTCTCTCACTTTGCCTCCTCCATTCTTCATTCTCCATCCTCAGCATCACCCTGTCCACGCAGGAGTATTATCTGTGACTGCCACCAAGTGTAACTTCTCTCCCTCTGCATTCTCAGGTCTGCCCCCCACAGACCACCCCACCTTACAGGAGATGTTTCTCAAACTTTACAGGGCTTGTTAAAATGTGGGTTCTAAGGCCCCCTTTGATAGTCTGATTCAGCAAATTTGAGGGAAGCAAGGGAGGGAGGGAAGAGAAAGAGACATAAACAAGGAATGAGTCTGCACTTGGCTCTTCTCTCTGAGCAGGGTCTTTCCTTCCTTTCTCTATTCAGGGATCCGGAATAGATCTGTGGCTAGAGCTAGGGAGTGTCTGTGATACAAGGGAGGTGTCAGTAAGCTCCGAACTGTGGAGGGCCTGCAGTACCTGGCTGAGAAGTGTAGACTTTATCTGGGCCCTGCCATAATTCTCTCGCCTGTGCTTTGGCTTCACCATCTGTCTTCCTCTCTCATCCCCCAGCCTCACCTACTTTCTTATCTCCCTGACCTCTCCTGAGGTTTCTAGGAAAGCCAAAGGATCTTGAGGTGGGCAGTTTGGGCCTGAGGCAGGATGGCAGAACCAACTGTTAAAGAAAGTCCCCACCTTCAAAGAAAAAGCCAGAGAGGCTGGAGGAAAGATAATAACCATAAACATAGAGGGCACCTTTCCACAGGCAATTGCAGTTACTCCCCACAATAATACCTTCTAGACAGGCACTATTACCCCCAGCTTACAAAAGAAAAAAACCCCTGATGTTCAGAGAGGTTAAGTAACTTGTCCAAGGTCACACAGCCAATAAGTGGGAGAATAATTCGGTAATTTCTTTTTCTACTGCCCCCAAACCATTTCTCCATAGGGCATTGGGTAGCTGTCCCAAACCTACCCTCCCTACCACCCCCTCCCAAAATGGAGATGGGGAAGAGCATAGTGTACAAAGATGAAAGGAGATGCTCAGGTTTCGGAACATCTGACAGGTCTGGCTGGAAGCATTAAAAATTCATGTGGAAACTTGACCCCAGCTGGACCTTGGGCCTGCCACCTGGACTATCCCTGGCATTGTGGATTCTTGGAATCTGGTGGTCAAATTTCCCTTCTGCTGTATCCTGGGAGCCCCAAGTCTTTGTATTTCACAGAAGAGGAGTTCTCTCATGGATTAGGGATCTAAAGGTGGGAGCCAGGAGCTCAGAAAGCAGGGCTGAGCACCCTCCCCCCAATCTGGGTGTAAGAACCTTAGAGGCTTAAGGGCTTATAAACCGTGTCATCTGGCGGCCTTCTATTCCTCTCTCCAGGGGGTTAGATGCTCACTCTCAGTTCAGCATAGCTGATGCCTGGCTGTGCTTCCCAAGGTGGCCAATTGGGGGCGCCCATCTGGTTTGGGGAGCCATAGCCTGAGCTTCATCTCCTGCTGTGAAGGACAGTGAAAGAGCCCCCATATGTGGTCAGACAGGTGCAGTCTTGGCCTTGGAAAAGGGGTCTGGAGCCTGTGATCTGAGGAAAGGGGCAAAGGTTTCCTAGTTTGAAGATTGGGGAATTTTAGGCAGCATTCGAAATAGGTTTGTGGGTTTCAAGTACATGATAACTGATGCAAACATTCTGACTGGAAAACAGGCTGGAGAAGCAGTTGGTACCCAATTCTGAAGCAACTTGGATGCTTTGTTAAAGTGTTTTTATCTTTAACCTGTAGGCAATAGGGAGCCATTAGAGATTCCTGACTAACATAATGACTTAATGCAAATTTTGATCAGATGAATCTGGTCACCATGGACAGGCTGGGTGGGAGGGAGAGATTGAATGTAGGAAAACCAGTGAGGAGGTTATTGCTATTTTCTTTTACATTCTAGGCATGAGGTAATGAGTAGCTGGAGCGAGGAGGTGGAGAGGGGAATGGGAAGGAAGGTATGGATTGGGGCCAGGCGGGGGACTGGGTAACTGAATAGATATAGGAGATTAGAGAAAGGGAGGCATTTAACTACAACTAGGCTGGGTGTCTGGCAGACAAAATGAATACAGAATGGGGGTACACTCACAGGATGTGGGAGTGAATGAATTTTGTTTCTTTAAGGGGGCAGGGAAGTCTTGGACAAGTCCCTTCTCTGGCCTCCATTTCCTTATCAGAGCATTTGGTGGGGTTGGACTAGATGGCCTTGAATGTCCCTCCTGCTCCAGGATGTGTGGCTCAAGACTGTAAATCTGGGTTGTTTGGAGAGCCTGGGGGGGGGGGTGTCTGTGCATGTGACAACTCTGGGTGTAGTCTCTTCACTGGTCCCAGCTGAGCGGGTGTGCACATGCCAGTATTTGGGGTGCATCTGCCTCTTTGTGGGACCTGTGGGTGGTTGGTGTGCCTGACGTATTGCGTAGCTCTGCTTTGGGCAAGTGTGT